TTTCTCAAAAAAATTCATCACAATTCTTAAACCCAAATTTAAAAAACTACAATATTGATATCACTCAAGAGTCTGTTCCTCTCGTTTAGTTTTTTTCCCCCTCTCTTGGGCTAGTACACTGGAATTCCCTGAGGGTCTTCAATTTTATTTATTTATTTTTATTAAATGTTTGAACACCAGTATAAACCAAGTGGAGACTCTGGGCCATGTCATTTTCTCCTAGAGAGGTTTTATTTTAGCTCTGACCTGCTGTTGAATTGGGGGCAATTAACCTTAATCCATCCATAGACTGAGTTGGTTTGAGGTTGAATTTTGGTCTTTCTAAGGCTTTATTGCTGGTTCACTCCTAACCCTAGGTCATAGCCATTCACTGCTTCCAGTGGCAAACATGTCCTTATTATAATTTTTTATAAAGGCTCAATTTCTTGTGAAAACACAAGTTTTCAACCATTTTTAGCCAAAACCTCAGCTCAGCATCTCATCCTCTTAGAGGCAGCTTTCTGTATGTTCCCCCGCATCCTACCATGAGCCATGTGGGAATTGGCAAATGCCTTAAAGGCAAGCAGAGTCTCAGTCTGGTCTTACAGCCTGTCCTCCTTTCTCTGTGGGATTGCATTTCTCTCAACTGTCAGGTGCCTCGATAGCTCTGGACTCCACTTTTTGCCTCCCCATCTTCCAAAGTGCCCAGAAGCCCTCCTTTGCTGTCATCTCTGGCTGAGCTGTCCTCTGGGCGCCCCAGGGTGCTGCCTTCTCCCAGTTTCCGTGAGCAAATGTGCCTCAAGGATCCAGTTTACCAGCATCACCGGTGTCAGTTCACCTGCTTTCCATCCTATTTCTCTTATCTCAGATCTTGGAGCTGCTTCACAACTACTGAATCTCCCTGTTTCCATGGGAACCACATCAGAGCATCAGGGCTGGGGAGCCGGAAGTTCAGGGTGTAATCATTTTACATAGGTCACTGAAATGTGGGAATGTTGATGGGGAAGAACAAATCTGACTCCATATGAGATCTGTTCCTTTAGCTCTAACCCTGGGCTCTGTTTCCTGGGCTTGGTCATGTTGGTTCTG